CCCCCCCTTTAACCAAACAAAAAAATATAAATTAACAAAAGCAGAATAAAAAAAGAAAAATAAATAAAATAAATAGCAAATATTTAAAAGATATATTTATATAGTTTTCAAAAATACAAATAAAATGTTTTTACCTAAGATTAAGTGTCAAATTTGAGAGATTTGTCAAGTTTGATAAAACAAAACCTAATATTTATATACTTGTATCACCAATTTCTTTTTTTCTTTTGAAATATTGAAGAAAAAATATAAAATGAAAAAATAAATGAAGAAAAATTTGAAATGATAAAAATAAATAAATAAATTAAAATGAAACTAAATTAACAAAAAATAAACAAAAAAAATTACAAATAGAATAAATAAATAAAATAAATCTATAAAGGAGTGAGTTATATTATTTTAAATTCATTTTTATATTCGAAAATATCACAATTCAAAACAAATAAACTGTTTTTACTCAAGATTAAGTGCCAAATTTGTAAGATTAGTACTTTTTGCTAAATCAGAACCTAAGCATGATGCAGCTTAACTATCAATATAAAGTTGCCTTTTAATATATTGAAGAAAAAAAAATTGCTAATTCAAATTTGAAAATCAAAAAAAAAGATAAATTTACAAACAAAGTAAGAAAAATTAAAAATAGATAAGAATAATAAAAGGAAAATAAATAAAATAAAAAGTAAATAAAAATATAAATAAATAAAAAGAGTTAATTATATTAAAGAGTTTTATACTCAAAAACATCGTAATCCAAAACAAATATACTGTATTTACTTAAAATTAAATGTCAAATTTGTGAGATTAGTGCACTTTCCTAAACCAAAACCTAAGCCTAATTAGCCAATTACATCAATTTAATATTTACTTTTTAAATATTGAAGAAATAATAGGTTAACTAGTTAGTCTTTTAGATTAATGAAAGAGTTAGTTATATTGTTTTAAATTCATTTTTATTTTCAAAAATATCACAATCCAAAGTAAATAAGCTGTTTTTACTCAAAATAAAGTGTCAAATTTGAGAGATTAGTGCACTTTCCTAAACCAAAACCTAAGCCCGATGCACCTTCACCATTGATTTAATTATCCCTTTTTAAATATTCAATATAAAATATTAATTAGTTAATTAGAAGGAAAAAATATGAAATAATAAGAAATTAATTAATTAAAATATAATCAAAAATTCAATATGAAAAAATGAGTTAAATTAACAAAAAAACAAAGAAATAAATAAATAAAAAAAAACACAAATAAAATAAAAAAAATAAAAATAAATGAAATATAAATCTAATAAATTAATTAAAAGAGTTGCTTTAAATTCACTTTTATATTCAAAAATATCATAATCCAAAACAAATAAAATTCTTTTTACTAAAGATCAAGTTTTAAACTTTAGAGATTACTACACTTTCCTAAACCAGAACCTAAGCCTGATGTACCAACTGCACAAATTTAATTAAACCTTTATAAAAATTGAAGAGAAAAAAATATTTAATTAGTTCGAAGGAAAAAATAAAGAAAAATATGAAATAATAAGAAATGAGTTAATTAATTAACTATAAAGAAAAGATTGAAAATGAAAAAGAAGTTAATTAACAAAAAATAAAGAAATGAATAAATAAATAACACAAACAGAGCAAAAAAAAAAGAAAAATAAATAAAATAAAAAGCTAATAAAAAAATTAAAAGAGGTAATTAGTAATATTGCTTTAAAATCATTTTTATATTCAAAAATATCACAATCAAAAACAAATAAAAGTGTTTACCTTAGATAAAGTGTCAAATATGAGAGATTAGTGCATTTTCCTAAACCAGAACCTAAGTCTGATATACCTTCATCACCAATTTGATTCTCCCTTTTTAAATATTGAAGAGAAAATATTTAGTTTACTATGAAATCATAAGAGATTAATTAAAAATTTACATCTACCAAAGTTGAAAATTAAAAAATGAATTAAATTAACGAACAAACAAACAAATAAAAAAATAAAAGTAGAATAAAAACAAGGAAAATTAAATCAAATGAAAAACTTATAAATAAATTTCAAAATATCCCAATCTAAAACAAATAAACAGTTTTTACTCTAGATAAAGTACCAAATTTGAGAGATTAGTGCACTTTCCTAAACCATAACATAAGCCTGATGCACCTTCTGAACCAATTTCATTCCCACTTTTTAAATATTGAAAAAAAAATATTTAATTAGTTAATTAGTTAGTTAGAAGGAAAAAATGAAGAAAAAATATGAAATTATAAGAATTCAGTTAGATTAACAAAGAAATAAAAAACACACAAGAAAAATTAACATAAAAAGAAAAATAAATCAAATAAAAAACTAATAAATAAATGAAAGATTTAGTTAGTTTTTTTGCTTTAAATTCATTTTTATATTCAAAAATATCACAGTCTAAAATAAATAAATTGTTTTTACCTTAATTTTAGTGTTAAATTTGAGAGATTAGTGCAATATCCTAAACCAGAGCCTAAATCTGATGCACCTTAATCGCCAATTTAAAAGAAGGGCTAAGCGACTCGAGTGGGCGAGTCGGAGGGTCTTAGCAGTGATATCGGGGGTTCGAATCCTATACCGCCCCCTTTATTTCGAAAAATTCCATGTAAAAATGTGAATGTTACCAGCGGTCTCCTTGGTAGGAGGGAAGGGCCAAATCTGATAGGAGGTAAAGAGGAGGCCCCATTCTGAACAGAAGATCTGGAATACAAATGGGAAGCGAGCATAATGCGTAGTCAAATCATGGAAGATTAGTAGAAATGCCATTAGGGTGTAGGTGACCCTTCCCTTCTAGTATATTACCCACAATTATATATAAATAAATTGGTATACGTATAATAATAATGTATAAGTAATTATATATAGGGCCCCTATCCCGAGTGCATGTAACCATGTGCGAGTATGTATGTATGTATGTATCGCCAATTTAATTGTCCCTTTTTAAATATTAACAAATAAATAAATTAAAATAATTAGTTTTTTTGTTTTAAATTCATTTTTAAATTTCAAAAGTATCACAATCCAAACAAATAAACTGTTTTTACTCAAGATTAAGCTCCAAATTTAAGAGATTAGTGCACTTTCCTAAACCAGAACCTAAGCCAGATGCACCAAATACGGCAATTTTATTTTTACTTTTTAAATATTGAAGAAAAAAATATACAGATGTTTCAAATAAATTAACCCTTGTTTTTTTTATGTGTATTGCTCTTTTATATAATAATTAAAAATCAAAATATATACAAAAAGTGGTGGTTAATTTATTTGAAAAATTGTATAGTTTATTATTTAGTTAGAAAGAAAAAATCAAGAAAAAATATGAAATAATAATTAAAATTAATTATAAAATGAGTTAAATTAGCAAGCAAACATAGTAACTAATATAAAAAAACACAAGCTGAAAAAAAAAGAAATAATAATAAATCTAATAAATTAAAAAAGTTATTAATGTTATTTGAATTCGTTTTTATATTAAAAAAAACCAATAAAAAATTTTACTAAAGATCAAATTTCAAATTTGAGAGATTAGTGCACTTTCCTAAACCAGAACCTAAGTCTGATGCACCTTCGTCACCAATTTAATTCGACCTTTTAAATATTGAAGAAAAAATATTTAGTTAAATAGTTAGTAAGAAGGAAAAATTGAATATGAAATCATAAGAAATTAATTAATTATTAAATAAATAATAGAAACAGAAGTTGAAAATGAAAAAATGAATTAAATAAACAAAAAAAACACAAGCATAATAAAAATAAATCAAATAAAAAGCTAATAATTTAATAAATTAAAAAAGTTAGTTATATCGTTTTAAATTCATTTTTAGATTTAAAAATGTCACAATCAATAACAAAAAATCTGTTTTTACTAAAGATCAAGTATCAAATTTGAGAGATTAGTGCAATTTGATAAACCGAAACATAAGGCTGAAGCACCTTTATAATCAATTTCTTTCCAACTTTTTAAATATTAAATAAAAAAATATATTTAATTATTAAGTTAGAAAGATAAATGAATATTAAAGATGAAATGTAAAAAAATGAATAATTCAACAATCAAAATAATAATTAAGTGAAAGTTAATTTAAAATAATTAAAAAAACTTATTAATATTGATGAGTATTTCAATTAGAAAAATAATATTGTAAATAACTTGAATATTAAATATAAAAAAAGAAATAATAATAAATTAATTATACCTCAGATCAATATGGAGTGTCTAATGCGATTAAAGTGAAGAGCTTAAAACCTTTTTTTATGAATAATAAATTTAAACATTATTAATAAAAAAAATTAATATTTACTTCTTCTATATCATAGAAACAGATATTCTATTATATCATTGATTTTTATTTTGAAAATTATTAAATATCAATTTAAATTTATGGAAATTTAATAACTTTAAGTGTTCTACTATTGTTATTGTAAAAATTTTGGAAACCCCTTTCAATTTTCTTGATATGAGAGTAAAATTTAGAAATAAGTTATATTTGGACCCGACCCTCTTTAAAGAAGAGTACATATCATATTATAATTATTTATTAAATTTAATGATAAAATAATAAAATTGCATTATTTGTGTTTATAATTAATTATCAATTTTGTATTATTTTTTTTCTTCAGTATATTAAATTATAAAATAAAAAAATATTTATTTTGTGTTGTCTCTTTATAACTCTTCTTGATTTAAATTTATATTGCATGAATTTTTAATAATAGCTCAGTTTATATTCATTAAGATAACAGTTGCCTTCGAAAATTATATATTTAACATTAAATAATTTGTTTGTCATAACTAAAATGCAATAAAAATATTTAAACCCTACAAATTAAACGAATCTATACAAAATTTAGTTAGGATTTAAACAAAAAAAAGAAGAAATCTTTCAAAATTTAATGAAAAAATAAAAATTAGAAATCTAATAAAGAAATTAAATTTAAAATTACATACATTTGGAAATCTTATTATTTATATGAGATAAGTCAAATAAATGTCTTTGAAATTAAAAATAGAATCTTAAAATATTCGTAATGATGTTGAAAATAAAAGATGGCTATTCAAATATATATATAATTATTTATTTATTTATTTATTTATTTATTTATTTTATTTTATATAAAATTATACTAATATATAAGTTAAAATGATACTAAACAGTTCCAAAAATATCATATAAATTTTATATTAGTTTTTCATTACATTATTTAAGACCCTCTAAAGTTTGATGTTTTTTGTTTTTAGGCTTTTTCTACTATTTGAACTGAGTGATTTTAAAAATCAAATCCAAGATAATAAGTGTCAAATATTGTGTTACCAAATGCAATATAATTAAGGTCATCTGATTATTATTAAATTAATAGCTAATATTCGCCACTGCGTAATTGTCTGTAAAGTTAATAAGGTTATAGGGTAATTGTGTAAATCTTTCCATACCTACGTTAGAGGTAGATATATAGAGGTTATAATTTATCAACAGATGATAAAACAATATCAGCGTGCTTAGAAGTTGCAACTTATATAACTCTGTATTTAATATTATCTTAGTCGAATATTTTAAGGATTTGATTTACAGATTCACTTGGAAGTTAAGTGAATGGAGAATCTATGTTAAAATGTGCATAAACGTGAGCTCCTAGTGGATAGCCTGAATAGACAGCGCCTCTGCAATAAGAACTGTAAAATTGTTTATCAGGAATAGTGTAGACTGCCAATTCAACAAAAGAATAATCTTATTTAATCAAAGATGCATCTGGCTCTCCTATTTCAAGACTTCCAACAATCATATCATCTCCAACATTTTACAAAGTTGTACTATTTAAGTTAATATACGTTATTTGATTCTAAATAAGTTTGTCTTCAAATAATTCAACAATAACATTGTCTTATTTAAACTGCTAATAAGAAAAGCAAAGTTATCTTTTTTCTATCTATTCATTGTCGGGGCTAACAAATAATAGATTTGCCTTAACATTACCTAATTAAAATTCAGTAGAGTAGTTAGGTTAATTAGTATAACTATCAACGCCTATATATTAAGCTCCACAGAGGTTAGTTTAGTGTGAAGAACTAGAAATAATGTTATAGCAGTCTTGATTAAATACAGGAAAGACATTGACTTCACATTTTTAAGATCCATACTATACTGGAAAGAAAATAGCTCCGTCTTTGTTCTACTTCAAGGGTATAGTAACTTTAGAAGCAAAAGCTTAACTGCATCCAAGTATTATTACTACTGATGCTATTATAAGATTTAAATTGTTTTTTCTTTAATTCATCGTTTTACTTTATTATTATTTTCAAATCAATTATTAATATTTTTTTCATAAATCCCAAATTTTTCTATTTATGAAGGTTTTTTCTATTAAAAATAAGGATAAATTTAAATATTTAATAGCTCGTGATTTTTGTTCAAATAAATATATGAAAAGATTTACACAAAACATAAAAGAAAAAAAATTAATCAAACAAACAAACAATAAATAAATAAATTACTCTTTTACCTAGAAAAATCTTTAATAATATATTGCTGTTGATAATATAATTTCAGGATTTATAAGTAAAGAAATTTATTTGATTGGATGCTTATCAGATCAATGCAACAACTTTTTCATCAATTATTAATTGATATTAATTATTCTTTGCATATATTTAAAAATTTGATTGGATCTTTTACTAATTACGAATGCTTATGACTAAAAATAACAGAATTATAAAAATATTATTTAAAAAAACATTTTTTAGTTAATGTTTTCTTCTTATTTCTTTTAATATTTTGAAGTTAGTATAATCTTTTGGTTTTGTGATAAAAATACTTTTGATTGTTTCTGATAATTATATGCATCAGAATTATATTAAAAAGCAATTTGTAACTAGCTGTGATTGTCTTTTTTAATTAAAAATAAAATTCTTCAGAATTCTTTCCATAATTCTATTTACTATAAATGAAGATGTAATTAATTTGAAAAGTCTTTTATTATTTTTGAAAGTAAAAGTAAATACTATGAAATATAAATGATGTTATTATTTCTAACTAAAAGATCAAACATATTTTCTAAGGATACAAAAAATGAAGAAAATTATTTTTTATCAATAATTTATTTTTAGGTGTTAATTAAATTTTATTTTTTAATTTATTAATTAGATAAAAATAAAAATATTTTACCCAAAATTAACTTATAATTAATATCTTTTACTTTAAATAAACATTTTTTTTACTCCTTTTTATTAGATTTAAGAAAATTTCTATTTTTAATCTTTCATATTATTATTTACCTTATTTATTTCAAGTCTCTTATTGAATAAAATAAATCAATTAATCAAATTTTCTTTAATAAAGTTATTCATTTGTATTCAAAAAATGTTTCTTATTTTTATTTCATCTTAAAAAAAAAAAATCGATGATTTTTTCTTTTTTATAATTAAAAACTATTTTTCTTTCTATTACAGATTTAGTTACTACTTAAAAATCCTGATTTAGAAATATTAAAATTTTTTAAAAATCCTCTATTTATTTATTATCTAATTTCAATTCAAAAAATATTGAAAACAGTTAAGTTTTCTATTAATGTTTTTAGTTAGTATTACTTCATATTCTATATAAACAAGATATTTTCCTTTTAAAACTAGTTGTAAATGTAATAATTAAAAAAGATTCTAGTTAGATTTTTAATTTGGTAATATATTTCTCAATTCATCAAAGATATTATTTTTAGACTTTTAATATATCAAATAATCATCAAAATAACAAGTCTAAACGATAAGTTGATATTAATTAATTATAAACCACTATAATTATATTAACATCTCTCTTTTTAGATTTTATTACTAATAATTACAATTTAACATTACACTTTATAATTTATATGTATAAAATCTAATAACTTATATATTTTTAGACTTAAAAATTGATCTATTTGATGAATAATATATGAGTTCAAATTCAAAAATCTATTAAAAATGCTCAAAATGATCATCAATTTAGGAAACTATTGAAATACTATTAAATAATCTTTTGAAAAAATTTTCTTGCCTACAAAGAAACATCAAATTATTTAATTATTATAAATTTCTCTAAAAAATTATAAACTTTAATGTCATTTTTTAAAAAATATTTTAAATTTTATTGGCATTTTTCAAATAAATTAAATATCAGATATATCTGAAAAGTTACTAAATATACTTTTTTATACCTTAATTAATTTTCAAGTTTAGTTATAGAAAGTTTATTTTTATTAATAATAGAAATAATTCCAAATATTCAAAAAAGTTAGGTTAATAATTAATTACACTAAATATTGCCAGATTACTTTTTATTGAAATCAAGTTTAAAAAACAAAAAATAACTAAAATAAAAATTTTTAACACTTTATCAATTGTAAGATTAATTATTTACACATATTTCAATTTCTAAGTCTATAAAAACTATATATTTAAAACCTAAACAAACTAAAATTAAATAAATTTTTGACTTTATGATTTATATAATTTTTATTATTATTCTAAAAGCTATTCTAGAATAATTATTTTACAAATGAATTTACTGAAATACTTTTATTTTTTGTATACCCAGTTTGCTTTAAAAAATTATTTTTTGTAAAAATTTTACCCTTAATATAAAGGTGCCTTTATTATCCCATACCCACTTTGATAGATGAAATTTAAATAAAATTAAAATTAATTTCTTGAACTAATGAAATCAAAAACTTAAAATTATTTCATAAGAAATCTAATTTATTTAATATTTTTTTTTATTAATTTATATTTCATAATATTTTGTAAAATTAAAAAAAATTAAGGTAAAATATATACTTTTTTGCAAAATTTATTATATAATTTTAAGGATATTACAAACAGCTTAATTTAAAGCTTCTGATAAATGTACTGCTAGCCCAGCAGGAACATATTCAAGTAAATCTATAAGCTCTATTTGCACTTAATGTAGTGTAAGTTAATATTCAACTTTTATGGAGAATACCATTTGTAAAAGTTGTGAAAATGGTCTAAAATACTTCTAATTTCACCTGCTGTAAATTCTATGCTAAAAATTATACTTAACTAAGTCTTGATAAAAATCTGCGTCTGAAATTCAGGATATGCTAGTGTACCTGTTAGTCCTTATAGCTTCTTAACAAGGATGCTTAGTTTTATGCTGAAAAATATGCAGATAAAAGTTTTGGAAAATGAATAGCTCGACTTGCAAGTACATATTCATGTTGCTAGCTCTAAATTTATTAATGATTAGTTTGCATCTGGTACCATACATCATAATCGATCTCTATCAATCATATTTATTGAGTGAAACCTTAACTCTGTAAAATACCTTCCAATTTTTAATAAATTTTACTTTGACTAATAAAATAAAATGAAAAAATTTCTATTAATAAAAAACATTGAACTCTCTCAAATATATAAGAAATTATAATTAGTTATATCTTATATCTTAAATTCGTAAGTTTACCACATTAAATTGTATTTAAAATAAAATAAAAAACATTTTGTAGAATGTTTTATATTACCTTCTAATACATATGTATTTTTTTACAGAATTGCTATTTTAGAGAAGTTTATTTAGTTACTTGTCCATAAACATTTGATTAGATTAAAAGTTTATTATAAGTATAAATAAATAAATAAATAAATAAATAAATAAATAAATAAATAAATAAATAAATAAATAAATAAATAGAATTAAAAATAGGTTTCGGAGTGGGTTTCGAAATTGGCAAATAAATTAAAAGATAAAAACGCTTATCCAATTATTTAATATTTTGATAAATTATACAACTTCATAAATATTGTGCATTTATAACTATTTGATTTAACAATTTTTTAAATAGAAAAAATTATGGAATAAATAGTCTAAGCTTGCTTATCAGCAATAAAAAATTAATAAAAATTAGGTTTTATGATTTTTTGCTTTTAAAATATCTTCTTTTGAAAATAAACTTAAGAATTAAAATCAGTAACAACACATGTGTAAACACGAATCATACTAAAAATATTAAAGTATAGTTTATTTCTTTTAGTTTCAGAATAAAGACATTAAAATAAAAATGAGAGATACAAAAACAGTGATTTTTTAACCACTAGTAGTATTATCAGAACATGTACTAACACCATCTGTAGAACCAGTTGTTCCTGATGGGCATACGCAAGCAGTGACAGCAGTAGATCCAGCAGGAGAGGTACGATTATTAGTGCAAGAAATACAAGAAGTAGCACTTTAAGCAGAGTAAGTATTAGCTGCACATTAAGTACAACCTGCTCCATTACCGTCTGTATCAAAACCTGAAGCACTATATGATCCAGCAGCACATGCCTTAAGAGTAACACTACAAACAGATTAGCCTGTTCCTACAGTTTAAGTGTTAGGAGTTGATGTTCCAGCAGTACAAGCAATACATCCAGTTCCAGCTCCATCTGTATCAAATCCTGAGGCAGAAAAACTACCTTTAGCACAGGCCTTAAGAGTGCAAACAGATTAAGCAGTTCCTACAGTTTAAGTGCTAGTAGTTGATGTTCCGGTAGTACAAGCAGTGCATCCAGTTCCAGCTCCGTCTGTATCAAATCCTGAGGCAGAAAAGCTACCTTTAGCACAGGCCTTAAGAGTGCAAACAGATTAAGCTGTTCCTATAGTTTAAGTATTAGGAGTTGATGTACCAGCAGTACAAGGAGTACATCCAGTTCCAGCTCCGTCTGTATCAAATCCTGAGGCAGAAAAACTACCTTTAGCACAGGCCTTAAGAGTAACAGTACAAACAGATTATGATATTCCTGCAGTTTAAGTACTAGGAGTTGATGTACCAGAAGTACAAGCAACACATCCACTTCCAGCTCCGTCTGTATCAAAACCTGTTGCGCTATAATATCCTTAAACACATGCTTTAGTAGTACATACACTAGGACTAGATCCAGCAATTCCAGTTGCATTGGTACATTCTCCAGGAGGGCAGCTGACACATGCGCCATTTGCGTCATCGCCAGTAGGACTATATGTACAAATAGCACATGGATTATAAGTGAGAGCAACTTCTAAGAAGCATAAAATTGCTATAAAAGCAAATAATTTTTTATTCATTTACTAATGTTTAAGGCTTAGTAATTTAATTAGTTGGTATTTTTAATTTAAGTAGTTATTATTTATAATTTAGTTTATTAATTATTAATAAGTATTTGAGTGTCAACCACTTCTTAAAATAGTCGATTTATTTTAATTGATTGAGTATCTATCTAATTCCCTGTTTATTTCTATTTAGATATATTTTCAAAAATTGTAATATTTCAAATAAAGTGGGATTTAATTATTTACTTTAATCAATACTTACTTTACTTATTTACTATTCCTAAATATATAAAGGTATTCGTAAATTTTAATATAAAGATAATTAATTTTTGTATATTCTTATTGGCTGTTAAATATTCTCATCTAATAAATAAGATAATCTTTTTAAAACATTTTAAATGAATTCACTTACTTTCAATAAAGAAATTGATAAAAAATAGGGTTTTCTGATTGACTGACTAACTATCTATTTTTGCTTTAGGGTTTGAAAACTAATATATTTACTTTTATCAAGATAAAAATAGTACAAAAAATAAAAATCTTCTACCAAAAATTTAAAAAATCAAATCGAAATATTTTAAGTTACTGATTAAATTACTGAATAATTTTGAAGAAACTTTACAAATTGACTAATTAATATTTACGTGAATTAATTTTAATTATGGATTTAATATTTATTTGAGATTTTTATCTATTATTTCTTAATTTATTCTAGCAATAATTACACTTAGTAGTATATTTATTTACTCAAATTGTCTATTTTATAGATATAAATAATAATAAAAAACGCACAAATGGTATAGACGAAAATTTTTTATTTTAGTTTAAAATTTAAATATGTAATCTGTAAAGACTTTCAAATATTAAAATATGCGTAAAGAATTAATTTTAAAATATTTAAAAGTGTAAGCCATTTTTTAGCATAATTCTGACTTTTTTTGAAAATTTGGAATTATTTCTAGCTTTTATTAAAAATAAAATTTTTTTAACTAAATTTGAAGATTAATCTCAATAAGATTTAAAATATTTTCAAAAAATACCATTAATTGTACTTTTTTAAAGCAGATTATAACAAATAAAAAATGTTTTTGTTTTTAAGATTTCATTTCTTTTTACTTTCAAAAGTACATTTAAGTTATTAAGATTCTAGAAATTGAATCTGGTAAAATAATCATTCAAACTGAATTTCTTATTTTTTTGAAATTTTTATCTTATTCATTAAGACATAAAATGTTATTAAATAATGTTTTATAATAGTTAAATATTCTAATGTTATTATGGCTTTAAAAATGGGGAAGAAGATTTTTTTAAACTAATGATTTAAGAGAGTATCTTTGATAGATTTTTGAATTTTTTTAATTTGTAAATAAAATAGATAAACCAATTTTTAGTTTCCAGTTTATGAATATATTAAATAAAGGAATTTACACATATAAATATATAAAGCGTTAGTTATGTTTAATTTTTCGTAATAAAATCAAATAAATGATTTTTTAATGAAATTTTATGTGGTTTTTAATTAATTTATATAGATTTACATTTAGATTTATATTTTTATTGAGTTTATTATATTAATTTATCAAAAGTATTTATTATACTAACGTCTTTATTTATTCTGGCGTTATCTATATTTTATAAATTAAAGTATTTTGTTACACTATTTCTTCATCAATAAATATTACACAAAATTTTATAATAAGTTTTTCATTTAATTTATACTTGAAATAAGCAATTTCGAATATACTTGCTTTTCTAGCAAAATTTTAGATAAAGAACTTATTCGATTTTTTGAGTAAAGTGAAATATATAGATGGTTATTTGAGTGAGTTAATGTTCTCAAATTTTATTATATAATAAACTAATAAAATATAAGTAGAGATTAGATTAGATTAACATTAAATGATTCAGGTTTAATGGTAAATGAAAAGCATCATGAAGAGTGATGATGAATCAAGCTACTGCAATCTGTAAAATATTCTTATAAGTGAGAAAAAAAGAGTATCACACCAGAATTATATGAAAAGAGGATTAAATTTCTGTTAAAGGTAAAGATTTGAGGATTTTTTTCATATTTAGCAGGTCCTCTATATATTTAAAGATTAAATAACAGTATCATTTAAGAAAAATACAATGAAGTATTAGAATAATTTTAAGAAAATTGTAATAAATAGTTAGTTAAAAAGACTATATTTTAGCATGGGAATGCTAGCTTTCACACAGGGAAGTAAACTATAGAATGGCTAAAAGAGTAGGAAATTCAAATGCCAGGACTGGACTGCTTATATTTGTGATCTCACACTATTGAGAATACCTGACCTTATCTAAAATAATAAGTTTATTAATCTCTGGAATATTTAAAAATTAAGATTAAATGTATAAGTTAGTTTAAAATTCTATAAAAATCAAGGAAATAATTATAAATTATTATGATTCTCTCCAATAAAAAATATAACCACTTAAATAAAGAGAGGGTGATGTTATTAAATATTGAATTTTATATAAAATCTGTATATTTGTATGGGTATTTGTAGTTTGTTATGAAATATAATATATAATTTTTTAATATACCAAATTCTATTGGGTAAGGTAAATAAATAAGGTTTCATGATTTATTGCTTTTAAAAAATATCTTTTGGAAATAAACTTTAGAGTTAAAATTAGTAACAACACATGTATAAACACGGATTATACTGAAAATATTAAAATATAGTTTATTTCCTTTAGCATCACAATACAGACATTAAAATAAAAATGAGTGATACAAAAACAGTGATTTTTTAACCACTAGTAGTACTATTAGAACATACACTGATACCATCTGTTGGACCAGATTTACTTTATGGGCATACACAAGCAGTGACATCAGTAGATCCAGCTGGAGAGGTACGATCATTAGTGCAAGAAGTACAAGAAGTAGCACCTTGAGTAGAAAAAGTATTAGCACCACATTGAATACAACCTGCTCCTTTACCATCTGTATCAAAAGATGAATCACTATATTATCCAGCAGGACATGCTTTAAGAGTAAGATTACAAACATCTTAAGAATTACCTACAGTTTAAGCATTTACAGTTGATGTACCTGGATTACAAGAATTACATCCAGCTCCTAATCCGTTTGTATCAAATCCTGAGTCAGAATAGCTACCCTTAGCGCATGGTCTAGCAGTGCAAGCATCTTAAGAATCACCTACAGTTTAAGCATTTACAGTTGATGAACCTGGATTACAAGCATTACATCCAGCTCCTAATCCGTTTGTATCAAATCCTGAGTCAGAATAGCTACCCTTAGCGCATGGTCTAGCAGTGCAAGCATCTTAAGAATCACCTACAGTTTAAGCATTTACAGTTGATGTACCTGGATTACAAGCATTACATCCAGCTCCTAATCCGTTTGTATCAAATCCTGAGTCAGAATAGCTACCTTTAGCACATTCTTTAAGAGTGCAAACATCTTAAGAATTACCTACAGTTTAAGCATTTACAGTTGATGTACCTTAATTACAAGCAATACATCCAGCTCCTAATCCGTTTGTATCAAATCCTGAGTCAGAATAGCTACCCTTAGCGCATGGTCTAGCAGTGCAAGCATCTTAAGAATCACCTACAGTTTAAGTATTTGCAGTTGATGTACCTGGATTACAAGCATTACATCCAGCTCCTAATCCGTTTGTATCAAATCCTGAGTCAGAATAGCTACCTTTAGCACATTCTTTAAGAGTGCAAATATCTTAAGAATTACCTACAGTTTAAGCATTTACAGTTGATGTACCTTAATTACAAGCAATACATCCAGCTCCTAATCCGTTTGTATCAAATCCTGAGTCAGAATAGCTACCCTTAGCGCATGGTCTAGCAGTGCAAGCATCTTAAGAATCACCTACAGTTTAAGCATTTGCAGTTGATGTACCTAGATTACAAGCATTACATCCAGCTCCTAATCCGTTTGTATCAAATCCTGAGTCAGAATAGCTACCTTTAGCACATTCTTTAAGAGTGCAAATATCTTAAGAATTACCTACAGTTTAAGCATTTACAGTTGATGTACCTTAATTACAAGCAATACATCCAGCTCCTAATCCGTTTGTATCAAATCCTGAGTCAGAATAGCTACCCTTAGCGCATGGTCTAGCAGTGCAAGCATCTTAAGAATCACCTACAGTTTAAGCATTTGCAGTTGATGTACCTGGATTACAAGCATTACATCCAGCTCCTAATCCGTTTGTATCAAATCCTGAGTCAGAATAGCTACCCTTAGCGCATGGTCTAGCAGTGCAAGCATCTTAAGAATCACCTACAGTTTAAGCATTTACAGTTGATGTACCTGGATTACAAGCATTACATCCAGCTCCTAATCCATTTGTATCAAATCCTGAGTCAGAATAGCTACCTTTAGCACATTCTTTAAGAGTGCAAATATCTTAAGAATTACCTACAGTTTAAGCATTTACAGTTGATGTACCTTAATTACAAGCAATACATCCAGCTCCTAATCCGTTTGTATCAAATCCTGAGTCAGAATAGCTACCCTTAGCGCATGGTCTAGCAGTGCAAGCATCTTAAGAATCACCTACAGTTTAAGCATTTGCAGTTGATGTACCTGGATTACAAGCATTACATCCAGCTCCTAATCCGTTTGTATCAAATCCTAAGTTAGAATAGCTACCTTTAGCACATGCTTTAGTAGTACATACACTTTTATCAGCTCCAATAGTTCCAGTTCCAGTTGTACATTCTCCTACAGGGCAGTCGGTACATGCAGCACCAGTGTCATTACCAGTAGAGCTATATTTACAAATAGCACAATCAGCAGCGAAAGCAACTTCTAAGAAGTATAACACTGCTATAAAAGCAATCAATTTTTTACTCATTTACTAATGATTAAGGTTTAACAATTTAATTAGTTTATTATTTATAATTTAGTTTATAAATTATTTATAAGTAGTTGAGTGTTAACCACTTCTTAAAATGTTCGATTTATTTTAATTGATTGAGTATCTAATTCCCTTCTAATTTCTATTTAGATGAATTTTTAAAAAAATTGTAATCTTACAAATAGTAAGATTTAAGTATTTTCATTAATCAACTCTTTACTCAAAGACTATTACTTTATTTATAAAAGTATTAGTAAATTAATTTAAAGATAATGACTTTATTTATTCTTATTGACTCGTTAAATATTCACACATTACATATAAAATCATCTTTTTAAAACATTTTAAATTGATAAACTTACTTTCAATAAGAAATTGAAATGTGATAAAGCTGTAAGAAACTATCTATCAATTTTTCTTTGATTTTGGATTTATGAACTCAAATAATTATTTTTATCAAGATAAAGACACTCCAAAATATTAAAATCTTGTATCTATAATCTCAAAAATTAAATCCAAATACTTTAAGTTATTGGTTAGAATAGAATTGAACAAATTTTACAAATTGACTAGTAATATTTACAATATACTCTTATTTAGATATACTTTCAAAAAATTTTAATCCTTCAAATCAAGTGGGATTTAATAAATACTTTGCTTATTGACTATTACTGAAAATATATAAAAGTAATAGTAAATTTATTTAAAGATTATGATTTTTTCTAAATATTCGGGCATATTATAAAAAAAAATCATCTTTATAAAACATTTTAAATGGATAACTTACTTCCAATAAATAAAATAAAGTTTATTGATTAATTATCTATAATTTTTAGCTTTGGATTTGTAAACTAATAAATATCATTACTTTTATCAAGATTAAATATTCCAATATAATAAAATCTTATATCTTTAATTTCAAAAATCAAATTTAAAAATTTTAAGTTGCTGATTAAATTATCGATTAAATATTTAATTGTGATATATTATTTATTCCAATTTATAATGATAGTGACTAGTACATTTATTTACTTAAGATGTCTATATTTTTAGATATAACTATTTTTGGATATATATAGTAAAATGTGGACTCTTGCTCAGTTTAAAAAATTATAAAATGTTGATCCCACATATTCCAAATGCTTGAAAAAAATAACGGGATTTGAGTATACTCTCGCGCGAGAAATAGTTATTCAAGAATAGCTATATGAATAATAATAAAAATCATATTAATAATTAAGTAAAAAATTTGTTTTATTATTGTTTACATTTTAAATTTACAATTGTATAGACTCCGAAATTGAAATATGTGTAAATAATTAATATTACAATTTATAAAAGTTTTAAACAGTTTTTATCTTGATTTTTTTTGTTTTGTAAACTTGATTTAAATAAAAAGTAATCTGCTAATATTTAGTTGTAATTAATTATTAACCTAACTTTTTGAATATTTAGAATTATTTCTATCTTTTATTAAATTTAAACTTTCTATAACTAAACTTGAAGATTAATTATTGCATAAAAAACTATATTTAGCGACTCTGTCAGGCCTATTTGATGTTTATTTTTTTCAAATAGCAAATAAAATTTAAAATATTTTCATAAAAATACCATTAAAGTTTTAAATTTTTAGTGAAATATATAATAATTAATCAATTTAATGTTTCTGTAGCTATAAGAGTAGGCAAGAAAAATTTCTTCAAAAGAGTATTTAATAGCATTTTCAATAATTTCCTAAAGTGATAATCTTTTAGAGTATCTTTAATTGATTTTTGAATTTTAATTCATATATTCATCAAATAGACCAATTAAAAAGTCTATCAATTTATAAGTTGTTAGATTTTATACATAAAAATATATAAAGCGCTATGTTTAATTGTAATTACTAGTAATAAAATCTAAAAAGAAAGATTTTAATATAATTCTAGTGGTTTTTAATAAATATCGTTTAGATTTGTTATTTTGATGATTATTTGATATATTTAAAGTCTACAAATAATATCTTTGATGAATTGAGAATTATATTACCAAATTCAAAATTTAATTAGAATCTTTTTTAATTATTACATTTACAACTAGTTTTAAAAAGGAAAATATCTTATTTAGATAGAATATGAAAAAAAACTAAATAAAACCTCTAGAAAACTTAACTGTTTTCAATATTTATAATTTTGAAATTAGATATAAATAGAGGATTTTAAAAAATTTTAATATTTCTAAGGTAGAATTTTTTAAGTAGTATCTAAATATGGAATAGAAAGTAAAATTGTTTTGAGTTTATACAAAAGAAAAAAAACATAGATTTTATTTTTAAGATGAAATAAAAATAAGAAACATTTTTGAAAGACAAATGAATAATTTTATTAAAGAAAATTTGAAATAATAATGTCAATAATCATTTGATTTTTCTATTATCATAAGTATAAATTTAACATTAAGATGATGATTTTATATTTTTAGCAATTTAAAAAATTTATAATTTATAATAAATAAATAAATTCATTCAATAAATTTTATCATTTAAACTTACAAAATCAGCATCTTAGTGTTAAATCTGTACTTATCATAATAGAAAAATGAAATTATGATTAATATTATTTATTTTTAGTAAAACAAATTACTCCTTATATTTATTTAGAATAATTCTATTTTATTTATTTTATTGAAAAAAAAAATATTTTCTTTAAAGCAATTTCAAAAAATTTATAATTATTAATAAACTAATTCATGAAATTTTGTCATTTCTTTAAATATAACATTTTTTTTCAAAAAAATTAGAATTACTTTAAATAAATAATAATGATTAATATTATTAATTGACTTATTTTATTGATTATGTCATTAGGAAACCTGAAATAAATAAGGTAAATAATAATATGAATATATATTTTTAGGTTAGCAATTATTGCCCGAGAGTATTATCTGCAAAGTATTATTAATAATTTAAAAATATTAGAAATATTATTTAAAGCAAAAAATATTAATAAGAAGTTAATTTTGGGTAAATCATTTTTATTTTTATTTAATTAATAAATTAAAAAATAAAATTATTTAATTTTCACCTAAAATAAATTTCTTCATTTTTTGAATTCTTAGAAAATATATTTGATATTTTAGTTAGAAATAACATCATTCATATTTCAAAGTATTTAATTTTACCTTAGCTTTAATTTCAAAAATAATAAAATACTGTTCAGATTAATTACATTTTTATTTATTGTAAATCGAATTTTGGAAAGAATTCTGAAGAATTATATTCTTAATTAAAAAAGACAATCACAGCTAGAAATTACTTTTTAATATAATTCTTATACATCTAATTATCAGAAAAGATCAAAAGTATATTTATCACAAAACCAAAAGATTATACTAACTTCAAAATATTAAAGAAATAAGAAAACATTAACTAAAAAAGATTTTTTAAAATATCTTTCTAAATAACATTTTTATAATTCTGTAATTATAGATAAGCATATGTAATTACCAAAAAATACAAATGAAATTTTTAAATAAATTTAAAGAATAATTAATGAAAAAGTTGTTGCATAGATCTGATAATCATCCAATCAAATAAATTTCCTTACTTATAAATCCTGAAATTATATTCTCAACAATATATTATTAAAGTTTTTTCTAAGTAATTTATTTTAATGATTTATTTTTTTTCTTATAAATTTTGTGTAAATATTTTCATGAATTTGAACTTATTAAATATGTAATTTTTTACTTATTTTTAATAGAAAAAACCTTCATAAATAGAAAAATTTAGGATTTATGCAAAAATATTAATTAATTGATTGATTTGAATAAAATAATTAAAAATATAATAATAAAGTAAAATGATGAATTAAAGAAAAAACCATTTAAATCTTATAATAGCATCAGTAGTAATGCTACTTGGATGCAGTTAAGCTTTTGCTTCTAAAGTTACTATAGCCTTGAAGTAGAACAAAGAAGGAGCTCTTTACTTTCCAGTATTATACGGATCTTAAAAATGTGAAATCAATGTCTTTCCTGTATTCAACCAAGACTGCTTAACATTATTTCTAGTTCTTCTAACTAAACTAACCTCTGTGGAGCTTAATATATTGGTGTTGATAATTACACTAAGTAACCTAACTATTCTACTGAATTTTAATTAGGTAATTTTTAAGGGAAATATTTAATTCGTTAGCCGTAATGAATAGATAGAAAAAAAATAACTTTGATTTTATTATTAGTGGTTTAAATAAGAATATGTTATTGTTGAATTATTTGAAGACAAACTTATTTAGAATCAAATAACTTATATACTTAAACAGTAAAATTAGGTAAAATGTTAGTGATGATATGGTTGTTGGAAGTCTTGAAATAGGAGAGCCAGATGCATCTTTGATTAATTAAGATTATTCTATTGTTGAATTAGCAGTCTACACTATTCCTGATAAAAAATTTTACAGTTCTTATTGTAGAGGAGCTGTCTATTTAAGCTATGCACTAGGAGCACATGTTTATGCACATTTTAACTTAGATTCTCCTTTCACTTAACTTCCAAGCGAATCTGTAAATCAAATCCTTCAAATATTCAACTAAAATAATTTTAAAACAGAGTTATATAAGTTCAACTTCTAAGCATGCCGATATGTTTTTATCATCAGTTGATTAATTATAACCTCTCTACATCTACCTCTAAAATAGGTATGGAAAGATTTACACAATTACCCTATAACCTTATTAAATTTACAGATAACTACCCAGCGGCAAATATTAGCTATTAATTTAATAATAATCAGATGATCTTAACTATATTGCATTTGGTAACACTATATTTGACACTTATTATATTGATTTGATTTTTAAAATCAATCAGTTCAAATAGTAGAAAAAGCCTAAAAACAAAAAACATCAAACTTTAGAGGGTAGTAAATCATGTAATGAAAAACTAATATAAAATATGTATGATATAACTATAATATTTTTCATAATAAAAGTGTATGTTTTTTTTGGCAGGACCTATATAAACATAAATTATGAAAAAAATAAAATGAATTAAAAAATAAAGTTAGAGAAATGAAAATATACTAATAAATAAATAAATTAATTAAATTCAATCAAAAATCGCAAACTAACAAATAATTTTTAATTTTCAAATGTAGCTATCTAAAAATGATATCACTAATTAGATAAAAGTAAAAAAAAAATATAAAATTTGTCTTCTGACGATAAATAAGAGCCTATCAAAAATACTAGGATTCAAATTTCTATTTTTAATTAATTAGGGTTTCATTGGCTATGCTGATTATCAAAAGCTGGATTTTCTTAAAACTACTACTAAGAATATTAATCTTACTAAAGTTCCTTAAAATTTTCTATCATATTTACTGTCTATTTACTTAAAGATTATTCTTCTAAATCTTCTTTTTGGTTATTCATGCTTAGAATAATTTCATTTTAATTGATTTCAACTGACTATATTTTTTATAATTTCTATTTTAATGCTTCTATTTCTTCTTAATGTGCAATCATATATTTTTATGCTTCTTGCTATTATTTTTTTATTATTTCTGAGTGTCCTGCTTACGCTTTAACGACACCTTTAACTTTTTTTACAACCCAGATTACAAAAATAATAATGACAAAAATAAATAACAAAGGAATTAAGATATTCATTATCAAAAAATTTTAGTCAATTTTCTGATTAATAAAAGCACCATATGGGTTACACTTGCCTTCTTCAGTAAGAATAAACCCATCAATACAAAGGTTGGATAATTTGCAACTTTTTTAGTCTTTTGCAATAAGTCCTTTTCCACAATGAATCATACAATTTGCTTATGAGTAAAATTAAGAATGATTGCAGTCATTTTAACAAAATTAAGTATTTACTACTAAACTACAATTTGGACATTAATAAATTCCAAGACTACTATCAAAAATCTTTTCCTCACATATTTATTTTTTTTCACATTTTCTACTTTAATTGTTCCATTAATATCCCTCTACACATGTATTTGAAAATTAGCATAGAGAATAATCATTAGCAATAAGCCCATTTTTACAATAATACATACATTGATTTGATTATTAATGGTAGTAATAAGATTTTTAGGAAGCTAAACATTCATTTTAACAAAATTAAGTATCAGTAACAAAACTGCAATTGTTACATACTTTTACATAATCATCTGGTAATGAATCGTGGGGACAGTTCTATTTTAAACTTGACTCACATTTATTTGTTAAAAAATTCCATACTAATCCATCTATGCAGGTAGTTATAGATTTGCAATTGCTCTTCGTGTTAGCAATTAGTCCATTACCACAATAATACATACATGCATCTAACTTTTAAGAATAATAATAAAAATAGTCTTTTGAAGCAGAGCAGTTATTTTAGCAAAAGTCGGTATCACTCACAATACTACAATTACTGCATATTTTTACATATGAGTCAGACAAAGAATAAGATGCGCAAAGAGTTTATTAATTTGTTTCGCATTATTGATTTTGAGAATTCCATTAAAATCCATCTATACAAGTATTTGTAGTCTATACATTACAGCTAGATTAAATTGAAGTAATTTATCCTTTTCCACAATAATTCATGTACTTATTCTATTACTAATCGTAATACATAGACACTTTTTTAAAAGAATCAAAACTTTTATTCTAGCAAAAATTAGTATCAGTAACTAAACTACAGTTACTGCATAATTTTACATAAGCATCCTGTAGTATGCTAGGGCAGTTATAGTTTTTTTCACATTTTTTAGTTTAAAAATCCCATTAAAATCCATCCACGCATATCTCAGAAGTTTTACATTCACTTTTGTCTTATGAAATTAATCCATTTCCGCAATAATACCAACATTAATTTTTTTACTCAAAGAAATATGAATTATTTGAAAGGTAGCAGCTATTTTTGCAAAATTAAGTATCAGTAACAAAACTACAATTACTACATACTTTTACATAAGAATCGGGAAGATTTCCAGAAGGACATTTAGTTTATAAATTTGTTTCACATTTTTTAGTTATAAAATTCCATTAAGATCCATCTAAGCAAAACAGATTTGAAAAACAACTTGATATATCTTCAGCAATGAGCCCATTTTCACAATAATTCATACATTTACTTTATTCCTTTAGATAAAATTGATCAACTGTGCAATTGTTTGAGCAAAATTTAATATCAGTAACCAAGCTACAGTTTTCACATCTGTGTATGTTTAAACTATTATCAAAAATACTTTGATTGCATTTTTCACACTTTTTATCACTTTCGTTAAATTAAAATCCATCTATGCAAACATTAGTTTTAGAGCAACTACTTTAATCCAATGCGATAAATCCATTACCACAATATGTCATGCATCCGTATTATTATGAAAAATATTGAGAATTTAAGCATTTTTTTTAACAAAACTCAATATTTGTAACAAAAAAACAACTTGGACATTAATGGAGATTAAAATTTGCATCAATAAGGGTTTGATTGCATTTTTCACATTTATTACTTGAATTATTCAATTAAAACCCATCTACACAAGCCTTAGCTGATGAACATCTATATTCATAGTCAAGTAAAATTAATCCATTTTCACATAATGTTACACATTAGCTGTGTTATTAAGAGTAGTAATAAGTACTTTAACAGCGATTGCAAGCTTAGATATCTGAAGTAAAACTGCAATTTGAGCATACAAATAAATTTAAATTTTTGTCTAAAGTATCTCCTTCACATTTTCTGCATTAATTATCTTATTTGCTCCACCTATACCCATCTATGCAATAATTTGAAAATTAACAACCTTCCTTATCTGGCGCAATTATTCCACTTCCACAATAATACTTGCACATATTTAATTCAGCTGAATAATACTCAAGGCTAGAGCAATTATGGCAATAGTCTATAACTGAAGCGAAACTACAATTTTAGCATTAATGAATTTATAAATTCGAGTCAAAGACCTTTTAATCACAACTCTTTTCACATTTTTAAGTTGTTAAATCCCAATAAAACCCATCTGTGCAAAGTTAAGAAAGTGAGCAATCTTCATTTAAATTTGATATAATTCCATTCCAGCAATATTTCATGCATTAATTTTTAAATTAAGAAAAATACTCTGACATTTAGCAATTGTTTTAGCAATCTTTTACATCTGAAGCTAAACTACAATTTGAGCAACTATAAATATTAAATTTTGAGTCGAAAATACTTTAATCACATTGAACACACTTATTATCATTTTTATTCCATTCAAATCCATCAATACAAATAATAGGAGATTCTGAACAATCTTTTGTTTCAGTTTAAATTCTTCCATTTTCACATTATTAAAAACAATTGTTATTTTTTTGTGAGAAATATTAATTTTTCTTACATTGATTCTAACAGTATTAAGTATCTGAAACAATGCTACAATTTGGGCATTGATGTAATTTTAGATTTTTATCAACAACAAGAGAATCACATTTTTTACATGAGTTATTTTGAAGGTTCCATTAAAATCCATCAATACAAAGATTACTTAATTAGCAGCTTTTTTTATTTGATGCAATTATTCCATTTCCGCAATAAGCCATGCATCCATATTCTGCTGAAAAATAATTACTGTCACATTTATTTTCACAATGTTTAAAATCTGAAACTAAGGTACAATTTAGACATTAAAATAAATTTAAACTTGCATCATAAATCTTTTAACTGCAAGTTTGTTATCTAACACACTTATCATCTATTTTACTCTATTCCAGTCCATCTATGCATGTAAACAAACTTTAGCAGCTAGGTTATTCTTGTTTTACTACAGACCCATTTCCGCAATATGTCATACATTCACCATAAGATTATGAATAATACTGATAATGAAAACAAGAGTTTTAGCATTATTTTAAATCAGTAGTCAAGCTGCAATTTTGGCATTAAAAAAGATTTAGATTTTTATCTATTATACTTTCATTACAAATTGACTATTTCTTGCATTTTTAATCAGAATAATTCCATTCATATCCATCTATACAAATATTAGTAGACGAACAATTACTATCTTATGAAATTAGTCCGTTTTGGCAATAGTTCATGCATTTACTGTAATATAAAGAGTAAAATTAATTATATGAGCAGCTGTTAAAATCACAAAATTAAATATTTGTAACCAAACTATTGTTCTAACATTCATATATACCTAGACTTTCATCAAAAATATTTATTCTGCAATGGCTAACTTTGATAAATAGTAAAATTAAAATTCCTATTAATAAATGAATTTTTATTGCTTTTCTCATACTTTTAAAATTTTGTTTTTCTTTTTTAATTAATTTATTTGTGGATAGATAAAGAAGCGGATAAATAAATCAAATGATATTAAAAATTTATTTGCTACTTATCATAATAAATATTACTAAATATATATTTTTATCAGACAAAAAATTTCTAAAATTAGAAATTATTTCAAATATACTGTCTAAGATTTAATAATTATTTCTATTTATAGCTACATTTAGTAAGATTATTCTTTCTAAAATTTAATAACTTTGCTTATATTGAAAATAAATAACTCTTACAGATTTTACTGAAACAAAAACCAACTTAAAAATTAAAGCAAATTTTAGTTAATGAAAAAAATTAAATAAAATAAGTAAAAATTTTATAAATTTTAGTGATTTTAATGAAAATCAATCAAAAATTTACTAAAAATGTTAAGAATCAGTTTAAAAAATTAATTTATGATTTAAATTTTTAAATATTATTAAAATTCATCTATAGAATCTTTCCAGTATTTTAAAATACCAAATTATTTTTATTCTTTTTTTAAATTTTAGCATTAAATTTATGAATATTTTTCAAAATAATAGATAATGAAATTAATTAAGTGACTAAAAAAACCAAACAAGAATAAATAAAACAAACAATTCAATTTGTTTAATAATTTTTTTTTTTTTTTATAAAATAACAAAAACATATTATTAGGTGTTTTTTTACAAATATTTGTATAATTGCAAACTAATTAGATTAAATTCTACTAATAATTTAAATTATTCAAATAATTAAATAATTTACTCCTAACTTCATATCAAGTCAAAATATCAATAACCTTGCAAGCGTATAAATTTAAGTGCTGCTATATGTCTTCACTTAAACATCATAATTTAAATTATTTTCAGAAAATTCAACTTGATCAAAATTTATTCAAATAATGTTTGTATTTTAATGAATTTGAAAATTAAAAAAATTTTTCATTCTATTTTATTAATAATAAAATAATTTATTTATTTTTTCAAAGAAATTTTAAGAATCATAAATTTAAACAAAGTAAAATAAGTTTTTTTATTTTTAGATAGACAATTTAAAATGATAAATTGAAATTAGAAATTTGTTTAAAACAAACAAATATTTTACAAAATTCTATTTAAATAAGCTGATATTAAAATATAAATAAAAAAATTCTAATTACACTTTTCAAAGTTTTGATTCATATAAAAACTAATATTCTGCTTTTCTTTATGATTTTTTAAGAAAATCAAATATCATTAACAGGATAATAATCTTTAATTTATTTCTTTTTCAAAAATGTAATTAATTATGAGTAAGAACTAATCATTTCTAATCTAAAAAAATATTTGATTTTTTTTCACGCTTTAAATCAAATAATTAATTTCATGTATCCAATTAATTAATTATATTTTTTTTAAACAAGATTTGCTAATAAGAATTTTTTGTTCACTGAATATATTAATTGCCAATGCAAATATTTTTTTGGTTACCCTTCAACTAACACCTCATTGTTAAAAGCAAATAAATTTTTTCTTTATGATTCTTCAGTAATGAATTTATTTATCTATCTACTTATTTTGAGTATTAAATGAGTTAGTATCTTTTAATTAAAATCAATCTCTCTATATATTTTTAAAGCTTACAGTATGTGATTGCTTTAATAAATTTTGATTTACAATTTAATTAATCTGGTGCTTTTTAAAATCAATATTTACTTTTTCCAATAGTTTGTTAAAAATCAATGTAATCTAAATTAAAATAGAAAGAAAAAAATACCACAGTAAAAGTCTAAGATTATTCAAATTAGTCTATTTTTTTTTTTTCTTAATTGAATACTTAAAAATAAAATTATTGAATCTATTGAGAAGATTAAAATAAATTTTCTATTTTAGTGTTATGAACAAATTTAACATTTTTTCTATTTTTTAATACTAAAAAATCTTTTTAAAAATGCTACTTGAATATAATGGTTAATTTTTCAAAATAATATTTACTTATATAAAGTACGACTAATTAATGTTATATTAATTGTATATTCTTATTTTGATTCTTTTAGTAGTGAGTTCAGATAAGGATATTATAAGCAATATTATTTTAATCTAAGTATTCAGATTTACTTTGCCAAATTTTAAAATTGGCTCTAATCATCCTAATTAATCAGAAAATTAATTAAATAGTAAACTCTATCTTTTTTATGAAATGATGAATAAAAAATATATTTCAATAATTCAAACTGTTAACCCAAAAGCCACAAAAAAAATACTTTAATTACTTACTTCATTCTTTAAATTACTCTGAAAATAAGCTAATTATCTGTAATTATTCGTTGTAATTTCATTCAGAAAGAAAACTTTTATTTAAATTATATTAAACAGATGCAAATATAATCATTTTTTATTTAAGAAAATTAAAATACGAAAAATAAAACTAAAAAATGAACAAATTTACTGCTTTTGCTTTGATCCTTTCTGTTTCTGTTGTTTCTGTTTAAGCTGTTTCTACTGGTAATGGAGTAGCTTGTGCTGTTACTGCTAGTTCAAACTGCAGCAATTGTGGTGACGCTACTAGTTAAGCTTTATTCACATACGACTCTTCTAATAATGGTAACTGTAAATTCACCGATTGTTCTACTAAACCTGCTAGTCTTAATGGATGGATTTGCTAATCTTGTAATGGTGTCTCTGGTTCTAGTGTTCCTGATGGATAATACTTCTATGGCTCTAGTTGCAGCAATTCATGCAAAGGTGCCACTGTTAGTAACAGTTGGGTATGCACAAGCAATTCTACTTTATTAGTTTTTGCTTTATTATTATCTCTTATAGCTTTACTATTGTGATAATAAAAAAATTAATATATTCCATTTTTTAAAGTAAATTTATGTGTTCCAAAAGAGCGTTGTAATTTCTTTCTTTCTAGGAGTATATTATTCTTCAGCTAATAATTTTTTTCAAAATAATTGTCTTAAAAAATATTTTTACTAAATTCACCAAAAATAAATATTTAATTTTTTATTTCTTTTCCTTATATTAAATTTAAATGCTTTTCAAAAGTTATTTTCATATAGGATAAACAGTATTACTAAATAAGAAAAATACATATTTAAAAGCAGAAAAAATTAGAAAGATGAATACACCAATAAAAGTTATAATAAATATTTTCTTGACACTGGGTAGCTTCTGAATATTTTTAATAAAATCTATATATTTTTTTAGATTTAAATATTTAATAAACCCAAATGAAGAAGAAGAAATACATTATAAATTCTAACAAAAGTATTTTACAATTTAATAAAAAAAGAAATATATAATTATATAAATACACTCAAATTTTAATTAATTGAGATTCTATTAGATTTATCAGTCAATATTAAACCAAAATCTTAATATAAAAGTTCTAAATTTAAATAGAGTAAGAAATTTTAAAATATTTTATAATTATCATTATTATTAACTTTTAAGATTGTTTTTTAGTGCTTCAACTATTTCTCTTATCGATTTAAACTTTTTCTTAGGTTAGTTTAAGCCTTAGTTGATATTATTGCTATTGTTATTTATATTTAGATTACTAAATTTTTTGGTATTAAAATTGTTACTAAAAACACTAAAAGTAGATTGTTTGTTGTTTATTTACTTAAGAACAGAAGATATATCGCTTTATTAGCATAAATATTCTTTTTTCTTTTGTTTTTTGAAATTAAAGATCAATATTTTCAATAAAACACAAGAAAAGTTTGATTCAGGAAAATAATATTTAAATTCTTGCATTTGGTCTGATTAATCTAGATTTTAATATTCTCTAGTATCATTTTTTTCCTCATTATTTGACATGATTGTAAGCAAAACTGGTATTTATTTAAAAGATGTTGATTTAAGTGACTTTTTAGAGAGAGGAGTTTATGTCTTCTAATTTGGCGTTTTGTCAGTTATAGAATTATTATAATTCAAAAATTAATAATATTTATATTTTTTATTTCTCTTTCTTTTGAACGAAATATTTTCATTTTTTTAATTCTCATTTTCATATTTCTCTGACAGTAATTTTCTTTACATAAATGAATACTTGTCAATATTATAGTGTATATACTTACATCTAACAATATCATGTCCTTATTTATTACAAGCCAAGCAAGTTGATCCTATTTAGCTAAAATTCTAATTTAAAATCATATCATCTCTCATTTAACAAAAAGTTTCGTAATCTTCTTCATTCTATCTAACTAGATCCAAAAAGAGTTTCTAAGAAATCCTCAAAAGTTTTGTATTTTTATCACACTTTATTGTAAACTTTCGAGGTTAATCTGTTATTGATTATTTTTAAAATAGAAAATTAATTAAAACAATAATTTTTAAAACAATTTACTTGTAAAAAAAGATGTCTCTCCAAAAAATGATTTGCTTTGCAAGACATAAACAGGTTAAGGAATTTATTGTTTTTTATTTTCTTTCTTATCCTAATTCATCATTTCACTCTTAGCTGCGTCAAAAAAGCCTCCTACTGATGATACTTCGTTTGGGTATCCTTAATCTTCTTTCATGTAGATATTCGCTTTACCATTCAAAATAATGTAAAAATCATAGAAATCCTCAATTTGACCTGCTTATATAATAGAATATTTAGATTCTTCTCCTCTAATTATGATTTCTTCAGTGATTTCATGTAGCTATTTTTTCATTTTATCACTGAAAGGCTCAAATATTTAAGTTATATCCTTAATTTATTTGTATCTTTGCACTCCTATTTCAGAAATAACTAAATCTTTTAGTTCTTCATCTAATTATTCCAATATTTCATTTTCTTAATTTTTAGAAATTTCTGTTCTATTTGAGCTTCTTTTGAATTCAAAATATTTCCTAATTCGAAGTTTGAGGTCGTTAGAAACAGAGTTATTTTGCAAGAAAACATTAACCACCTTCATTTACTAAATAAATAATTATTAACAAATATAAATCATTTTAACCAAGCAAATAAAATATTACTTCATTAAATTCTTTACTCCTATTTTATATTTCTTAGACCATAGATCCAATTGTGTTAAAGGTATATCCAAAAAATCCACAAGCAAGAAACATCGTCACTATGACATATCCAGCTTCCATGGGATTCTGAGGAGTGATATCTCCATATCCAACAGTTGTCATAGTGCACACAGCCCAATAAAAAGAAAATATATACTAAATTAGCCATGACTATTATTAAAGTCCTCTTTGCATAATCCAAGTCGTATCATATGTCTAATTTTTTTCAATATGAATCGCCAGTCCTAAAATTGAAAAAAAAATATTTAACAAAATAACTATATAAAATATCAAAAATGTTATTATAAATTATCAAAAGAAAATAGCTATTTCATATTTTTAAACAATGAATCATTCATTCATTGATTTATTTATAAATGATGAAAAGCATAAAATAAAATAGTTAAATAATATTTTATACCTAAAAAGAAAGAGGAAAAGATGTGAGCAACAAAGAGAATAGTTAGTGCTAGCTTGATTAAGTAAATAATAGGAGAGGTATAGTAGTTAGAAGATAATGTAGAGTATAAGTCTTTATATTTTGATAAGATATAAATAACAGTTTGGAGCTTAAATAAAATCAATACAGCTAAAATCTTTATATAACCACTGTATTCTTAAATACTGACTATTAACGGTATTATTGCACACATATCAAAAAAGAAATTTTTGGTCATGTAAAATTTGGCTATTTTCCACTTATCGTAAATACAAACCCCTTCATAATAGAATCCTTTATGAAAATTTAAAACCATGTCTATGCCAAAGATAGCTAAACTGATGAGGATCGATATAATCCAAGGAAGACCATAATTTGACTTGAAGTTAATTTCAGTAACCCATTCAATTATAATATAATAAATATTGAAGATTATGCAAAGTATATGGATAATATCCCAATAGAGAAGGATTGTACTACTTGGTTCAATAGTTTTAATAGATTTCCACTTTTGAACTATCTCAAATAAGCAATTCTTTACTTTCATTTTATTTTGTTTATATAACGTTGCCACTCTTCTGTTAAATCGCTTTCTAGTTTTTGAAATCAAACTTGAATTAAAATTCTCAGACTCTAGCAGCTACTACTCAGTCAAATATGCTTTGTCATTAACTATTTTATATGCATTTTCACTAAGCTATTGCTAAACCCATGAACTTGAATACTCTTTCCATTGCATTACAGCTTTTTAAACTAGATTTTTGACCTTTACATTTGTTGATTTCAAAATATTTGATTAATCTTGATTGCTTTCTTAGTTAATAACAGACAGTTTTGAGTTTTACTACTTTATTTCTTTCTACTTTTTCTTTTAAACAAAATCTTTAAGAAGTTAATTGTATTTTGTCATTTTTCCTGCTGTTTGCTCATTTACATTTTATTATTATTTATTATTGGTTTATTGTTAATTGCCTTATTAATTCATTTACTATTTATTTTTCAAAGCATAATTATTATCATCATCTATAATCCCCATCTAAATACTTGTCTGTATGTATTTATCATAAGGAGTTTATTCATCCTTATTCTCATCTAATTTATTTGAAAGTTTTATATTTTGTTTCTCTCTCATTTGGTAAAGATTTAATCCTTAATGTCTGCTTTATCCTAACTAATTTTAAATATATAATGCTTGATTTTGCTACTAAGGCTAAAGAGGTTACTCTTCAGTCATTAAAGTTAATCCAACTTAACTTTTATCCTACTCGCTAATCATTGATGCATTTCCTATATTTATTTAGGAGCAGAGCAAATTTTTATTTGAGCTTTTAGACTTAGCACTTTTATGTAAAAAGATAGGTATAAACCCACTTTTATTTTCGATATCTTAGTCGATAATGTTGTTAGAAATTAAATTCAATTGGCTAATGGCATCGACCTTTTGAGGACTTGTGTTCACCACTTTTCTAACTTTCTTTGAAGAGACAGACTATAAAACTTTAGGTGCCTAGCTAAAAGGCTCTTCATCAACGATTTCACTAAATTCTTATTTTGAAAAGATATCTGTATCTATCCTTTAAGGAGTAGTTTGTAGTTGCTAAGTAAATTAGATAGAATTAATATCAGTATTATTTGACTACATTTTGTGAAGAAGAAATATTAATTATTTATATGTAATTAATAATTCAAAGATTATCAAAGTATAATAAAGCAACAAAAAAATACAAACAAACTTTAATAAATAAATAATTATCCATAAACTAATTATAAATTTAATTTTTTTCTCCTCAAAATATTATATCTATCTATCTTTACTTTCTATTTATTGAAATCCAAAAATTACCTCTAAACATTATATTAAAATTTCTTTTCGCTTTTTGATATTATTTATTAGTTATAGTCAAATGTAACAAGCTTAAATATTTATTACATTTTAAGTGCAAGTAATTCAAGGATTATTTAATATTATTTTGTCTCATAATAAAGCATTTTTAGGATTAAATTAAATTATATTTTTTTAATAATTTTTTGTTTACTGTAATATTTAATTTAAAAATAAATAATTAATTTCTAATACTCTGTAATTATTCTAACATAGGATGCTTCTTATTTAAAAAGATGTAATGTTTTAACGAGGAATTAATATTTTGTTAAAAATCTACATATTGGATTTCTGTCAGATTCTTATCTAAGCATTACAGTAATTAAAAATACTAATGAAAACACTGTAATTAAATTGTTATAAAACATTAATCAAGAAGATATTAATTTTATAAAGTTTTATTATACTATAATTCTATACAAAATATCAATATAACTATATGCCAGTCAAAATGAAAAAACTAGACTGTATATTCTAAAGTATACAGGAGTGATTGATACAAACAAATTAGAATTTGCTTTTTTATATATATTAATCTAATCAACTCAAATAAGTTAAAGCAATTTGTTAAAAAATGTCAGTTGTTTATGATTTTTTTATTTAAATTAATTATATTAAATAGCTTTTCTGTTTTTTTCATAATTTAAAATAACAATATAATGATGTTTACTATTTGGGAATTCAAATTTTATATAAATCTATAAAATATTTAAATGTTATGCCAATAGTCTGATCCTACTATAATTTAAAAAATCATTTTTAATGATATATAAGTGAGTTAAACAGGAATTATCTTATTTAGAAAATTATTATAAAGTTTAGATTTTAAAAATATTTAAATTCTATTTAAAATTCTGAAATGCTAATGCTTACTTAGTCTTTAAAGTCTACTTATAACTTATGGCTGTATGGATGGATATCAAAGATAAATAAATTAGTGATTTTTGTTTAGAGTATGTTAAATATATTTTTCTTGTTATGAATAGATATTTAATTTTCTTATTTACTTCTTAGCCTCACAATTAATTATTTGTTTGTATAATAAACTAAGACTTTTAAGAAAAATTAAAATACATTTAAAATAATTAGCATATTTCTCTTTTAAAAGCAAAAATCATTATAATCAACAATGAATTGGAAGTTACCTGAAGATATTGAGATAGACGAGATTATTTATTTGTAAGAAAAGGTTTATCCAAAGCTAAAGGAATCATTTTTGTATGTATGTAAGCTTAATAACAATAGATATAAGAAATCACAATACTTCAATAATTTAAATAATAATAGCTTGTATAGTACTTGATGGAATCTGGAGAACATTTAGATTAGTATAGAGCTCAAAGGAGGGAAGAGTATGAATCTCTTCTTCAAGAAAGAGAAGATTTAATTAAAAAAGGATAATAAGAATAAGGTAAAATGTGTTTTATATAAATTAATATGGAAGATAAATTATTATTATTTTTAGCAAAAATAAAGCAAGTTTAAGAATATTTATTTTTAAAAAGGCTCTGATTATGATTAAAGCTCAGATGATGAAAAGAAAAAAGTAGATCAAAAGATTAAAAATTTTGAAAATTTGCACAAGAATGAAATGGAACACATTAAAACAGATAGAAGTTAATAGGATTCAAATAGAAGAACTAGCAGATAAGAGCAATTAAATGAATATATAAAATCATAGTAAAAGCAATATTATGAAGATTAAGTGATAGAATAGTAGAATAATATAAATGGCAGGAACAATCAAGCGGAAGGAGAGGAATCTTCTAAATCTTAAAATAAATTTAAAAGAATTGATAGATTTTCTGAAGCTTCTTCTGATAATGGTACAGATCCAGATGAGTACATAAGAGTAATTAATATCAATTTTATTAATTTTTATAATTCAAATTTATTTATAATTTTGAATTTTGAATGGATATTATTTAGAGAGACAGCTACCAACGTAATCAATCTTTTCATGTCTTTAATCCTTTAGTCTTTTTAGCTCAAGAACTTAAAAAGAGAAATTAACAAACAAAGTGAAAGTGAACTAGTTTTTACAAAATCTTAAGGTAGATACAAGCATACATATTTATATATTCAATTGTATTTTATTATAAATTACCAACTTCATTTATTACAAATAATTTTTACTTGTTTTTATACAAATAAGCAAATAATTTAAGGGTTCTAAAAATCAAGAATTGTTTATATTTAAAAATAATATTTTTTTGAGAAATTAAATATCGAATTTTAGAAGCCTTGAAAGGAGGAATAATAGTTTTTTATGTTGTAGAAGGGAAGATATTAGAATTAGAAATAAAAATTAAACAATCTAACACATATAATTTATATATAGTTTTTACAATATAAGGAAGGATTAGAAATCAAATTGATTTACAGGTGTTCATTATTAATAAGGCTAAAATATCATGTTACTAACTAAATAAGTTAAAATTAATCAAACAATAAGTTTTAGATTTGATTAGAGTTTTGTTTTTTTATCTCTTCTTCTTGAAATTATTTAGCGATTAACAAATTAAATGAAATAAGTTCTTTAATTTTATAGATGAAAATGAGAAAATAATCAATAGCAAGAGTCATTGGTAGTCAAAATATCTTCAGGATCTTGCACCTTTTCTAAAATGGATTACTGGATTTGTTAAAATTCTTTTTAATTAAAGATATTCCAAATACATATCTCGGTCTATGAGATGCAAAACATATTTTCCATCTATTTATCAAGTGCAATAGAAATTATCAAATTTTCAATTTTTATGGTTTCAACTGTTCTTATTCTAGAGGATGAATTTCTTAGTATTTAAATTTTAGATGTTTATATCATCTGATTGTTCTACAACACAATTATTTCTTTAGTCACTGAATTTACTTAAAAGTCAGCGAAATTCATTTGTTCTTGCACACTTGACTTCATTTTAAAAATTACTTTTTCTTTTGTTGTGTGAATGACCTCAAGTTTTTCATCGGTGAGCACAATAATATTGTCTTCATTGCCACATGAGAAATCACACTTGACTAATCCTTCAAATCTCTTTTAGAATATTATTTCGTTTAAATTTTACGAGTCAACCACAATAACCATTCCATCATTTCTTCCAAAAATTAATTTTTTTGATGTAGCTTTCAAATTTTTAACAGAAAAAGCAGTTTTATTTTTTTCTTCATTTTCTTCATTCTATTCTAGTCCTAGAGATAGTCCAAAAGCAACACTGCATTCAAGATTGCAGTTATCAGGAATAACTGAGCACTAATTTTCAAGGATGCTCACAACTTCTTTCTTCTTGAAGTCAAATAGGTAAACAGAGCCATCACTACCACCTATGTAAAAGTTAGATTTAAACTAGGCAGCACAAGTTGGATAAACCTACCTTTCTTCACTTGATTTAGGGAAAATTTATTTGGATAGTTTCTGAACGTATTTCTTTCTTTGTTAATCTTTGCAGAGCTAAAATAGTAAAATTTTACCAGTAAGTGTTCCTGTCATTATAACGTTAGGGAAATGGGCATCAAGAGGAAGAACAAAAGTATAAAATTCTTCTGAAGTTAAGCAGATGTCTCTCTGAATTAGGCAGTCAATGTCCAAATGTATCTTAGAAATATAGTGTGGGTTTCTTTTAACAATAGATGGTTGATTACTGTGGAATGTCTAATAGTCCTGATTAGACATAAATCTATGATTCATACTTATACCATTACTCTTAGCAAAATTACTTTATGAAATAGTTGAAGATGTACATAATTAGTCGGAGAGCTAAATGGAACTAAAAGGAGCACGCTTAACCAATCTCAGTCTATTAGTTACATACTTAGCTATTTTTTTCGAGAGTTTGACATCTTAATTTTCTAGGGATTCTAATTCATTTGTCTTGGAATCTAAATACATTATTTTAGAGATGGTACTTTAAGTGTATTCTTTGATAATTTGCTTCTCAACATCCGGTGAAGAGATTTAGTCTTTATTGTACTTAGGATTTGAAAATAGCATAGAAGAGTTTTCCTCATCTTCTTCAGCAAGACTATTTTTTTTTTGGAGATTTTAAGATTATTATTTTTACTACAACTTCTTTGATTGATTGAGTAATTACACAGAGAGACTACAGCTAATATTTATTTGACAGCTATTGTATATAATAGAGCAGTCTTTTTCTTTAAAAGCGTTTGAGGCTTTAAGTTGCTTGCTAGAATATATACTTCCATATTAAGATCCATCAAGTCCATTTTGATTTTCTGGAACCTTTAGCATACTCATGATCTAGCTGAAACGATTTTCTCCTTAGTCTTAGCTAACAGCAAGATTGGCTGGGATTCCTGTCACATTAGAGCTGTTTTCTAATTAATTTGCACTAAAAAGCGAAGATTAAAGGTGTTTCTTAAGATTTTAATTGAAATTTTGCTTAAAAGCACTTTCCTTGTAATTCTATTTAGCATTTTAATTAATGGCAGCATCTTGCTCGAGGGATTCTCTGCTCTAAACAATTGAGTCTTTATCTAAGTCATACTCACTGCTTGCATTTATAACAATGTCCAAATTTTTTAACTTGTTGCTTAAAGCCTTCGCTTGGAAAGGAGACAATCTTCAAACATTTTATATAAATAAATTAGAATTAAAATTTATTTTTTATGAATGAAAAAAATCAATCAAACGATCATTTAAAGTTTCATTTTATGTTTGTTTAATATTGAAGTGGTATATAAAATAATTAAATTACCTCAGAGAGTCAACCCTTTTGCTGTTAGGTATGTTTAGCAAAAAGTCATGAGGTTTTGATCCAATGTGATAATTATCTGATTGAGCTAGTTTATTCTTATTCTTTTGCTCATCCTCAACGTTATTGCTTTCTGCACCAGCGAATGAAGAGATATATGAGAGTGTTTGACTACGAGCAACGTCAATTTTAAATTTACCAGACATGGTTGAATATTAAAGTGTGATTAATTTTATTTTGTTTTGTAAATGCTTTTTTTATGTTTTTGTTGAATTATTTGATTTTTTATTATTTCTAATTTGCAAATCTAAATTAAATGACTGGTAGAGATTTAAAGACAACCTGTGTAAATATCAGTTTAGTTAATTGTTGGAGGTATCATTTATAATTAAAAGTATCTTTAATGTATCTTTTAAAGATACAACAAATAAAAATTAATAATAACCTATAATTTAAATTAATAATTATAATTACAATTTATAATTCTTTTCTATTTCATTTTTTTATAAATTTCTACAATCAAAGTTAGGTTCAAGTTATTTCTTTCTAATTTTTCTTATTTTATTATAGAAATATTTTTATTTATATTCTAGCTTGCTTTTAAGCTTTTTATATTTCTTTATGTTAAATTGCATTTAAAGTAAATTCTAAATAATTTTTCATTCTTAAAACCTTATTTAAATTTTTGTTCATATTTCTATTTACATATTTATTTTAAAAGGAAAATTTTATGGCTATTTTGTAAGGACATTTCTAAGTCCATTTTAAAATTTTAAATATTTTAATGAAAAGTGGTATTTGAAAAATGTATATTTTGATGCAAAGAATTAAAAGTTATAAATAAATATTCAAAAAATTTATTCTAGACATTTAATAACTACATTTACACTGAGTAGGTTATAATGTTTACCTAAAAAATATATGTGAATTTACATTTAACTACTATGAAAATTAATTGATTTACCCAATATAATTAAATACAATAAAACATAGGTTTTTTAATAATAAATCATAATAAGTTGCATGCAATCGACTGACAAGGCGGCCTTAATAAGATTTTGATAATTCAAAAAAAAATAATATATTAATTAATTAATTAACAAGCTAACTCTTTATATTTCTCTCTGTCTCCTGATTAAAATAATCAAAATAGTGTTAATTAATTAAAATAACTAAACCAAAATCTATTAGTTTATTTATTCAATTCCCTATCAAGCAAGCAAGCAAAAAAAATAAACTAGCAAGCACATCTGCATCTTTCGGATATAAAATTTCAAAAGTTTCAATAATTATTTAGTCAATAGTAATATTTTAGATAGAGAACTTACATGAGAAACATTAAGCAATTTTCTCTTTTAAATAGACTTATCAGCTCTTCTTTAAGCAGCCAAACTCCTCATTATAGATTCGTTTAGATAGCTCAAAAGCCTCCTAACTCTAAATATTCAGATTAATACGAGCTTTCAAGCGATGAAATAGATAATGTTTTGAAAAAGAGACCAAAGAAAGAGAAATAGTCTGTAGTATTTGCTACTGAAATCAGTTAAGATCAAACATATGAAAAAGACATAAAAGAAACCCTTCAAGAAATATAATCAAAGCCTAAGAATTACAATGCAAATTAGACATTATCAGAAGAAAGCGATGATTACTTAGATGGCTAAGCAATCGCTTCTACCTCTTCAGGCAAAGGAATTATTACAGGAAGATTAGATGATGAAACAAGAGTTTAAGTTAAATACTATAAATATGATTTGCCAATCCCAAATATTGATCCCGAAATCGTGGGTATTGTTGATCCTTTTGAGCGTGCCAAAAGAGAGTACGAAACATCAAATTAAAGATTGTGGGCTCTACTTAACTTAAACGAAAATACACCCTATGAAACATACGAACTTTCATTAAGACATAAATTTAATAATGAACTCGATATGTACGGAGATATTTAAGACGAGGTAATTTATCAATTTGCTTCAAGAATATATTTAGAAGTAGAATACATTCATAAATACCAGTTTATTTAATTTTGCAAATTTCATTAATAAATTTGCATATCCTGCATGGAATGTTCTATTTACAGTTGAAAATCGATTACAATTTAATCAAAGTTAAAAATATGAATCTGGGTATACACTGGGACTTCCCAAGCGGTCCCCCACCTTAGTACTAACCCAGCCTTAAGGCGCTTAACTTCGGAGTTCGAATGGGATCCGGTGTTTTCACCTTAGTATGGCCGACAACAAAATTGATAATATTATTTTGTAATTAAAACTAACTTAGTAACTACAATCTATTTCAGTAATACTATTATTTAAGAGATGTCTTTAAATAGAAAATTTTAGTGTTGCAAAAAAATAATATACAAACAAACAAATTTAATCTTTACAAATAATAAATTAATTTTTAAAAAAAGGTTGTCGACACTGGGACTTCCCAAGCGGTCCCCCACCTTAGTACTAACCCAGCCTTAAGGCGCTTAACTTC